TTTCATCACATGACATAATATTTAAAGATTAATCTTTAATTCCTGGACACTCCTGGAGGGTTGGCAACCCTACTGTCACCTGGCTGTTCTCGAGCTCTCTGACGAGCTGGGCCTGTCACGTGGGTCTCCCCACAAAGGCCTCCCTTCTCTCAGTGAGTCAGAGGCAGCCTTGCCTGGGAAGTGCCTCTTGTGTGGCCCATCTCACACCTGTGCCTCTCCGTTTGCCTTGTTTCTGCAGGATCACCATCCCCGTGCAGACCTTCTCCAACCTGCAGATCCGAGGTCAGGATGCTGCGCGCCCCAAGGGAGGAGGGATGGGATGGGTGGTCGTGACTACGTCGCGCCTTCACGTCCGGGTGTGGAATCACTTTGCCATGGCGCTGCCTCCCCCACGCACAGGCTCTGACTCTGGGCCAGGACTGGAGGAAGGGCTGGGTAATGTGATGGCCACTTGCAGCTAGAGGCGCTAATATGGGGGCCATCAGATCTCATGCTTCAGGGCCTAAGCTGATGACTGTGGGGAACTTCTCCTTAATGCACAGAGTTGTGCAATTGGCCAGCTGCATTGTGGGGTTTCCCCCATCTTCCTCTGACGCATCAGGGCTGGTAGCACAGTTCAATGGACAGGGAGCCAGGAGAGCCGGCTCTGCTTCTGTCACTAACCTGCTACGTGACCTTGGGCGACCCTTCCCCACTCTGTGCCACACAGGGATAACCATGCCACCTGCCAGAGCCTGGGGCGTAAAGTCTGAGTATTGTCACTGGCGCCAGTGGGAGGCGGGTTCCTGGGCTTGGGGGCCCCACTGGTCTGATCTGGGCCAGCCCATCCAGCATGTAGATGCTCCCTATCTCCAGCCAGGCCAGACTCCGGGAGGTACAGGTGAAGGGAAGCCTGCGCCGTGGCCTCCTTTGGGACCCAGCCTGGTGACATGGGGACCCTGTAACAGGTACAGGAGCCATGAGAGTGTCCCTGAAGCCACTTCTCTCTGACTGCAGCCTGCTCTGCGGTGCAGGGGGACCCTGCAGTGGGGGAGCCCCAGGGAACCCAGAGCTTCGGGGTAATTTGGGGCAGGCGGAGGTGGAGATTCGGAGCAGCTGTGCCTCGCCCTGGACCCTGCCGGGAATCAGGGCGGGCAGACCCA